CCACAACGATAGCATTTGTTCTTCCAGTCTCCGTCCTTGCAATCACGAGCCCAGTGGCCCTCAATTCCACAATTGAAGCAGCGCCCTGTTCCTGGAGCAGGAGCTCTTCCAGAATATTCACGAGATCCACCAGGACCACGTGGAACCTATGATGAAAAAGTGTAAGAATAAATCTTTGCCAAGACAAAACAATAAGCATTTTCTACTGGGAGTTTCCATTTCAAGTGCCACTTCAAAGATCAAGCTTACCCCCTTAGCAATCTGCACAATGATGCGACTCCCATCAACTTCACGTCCATTCAGCCTGTAGATGGCATCATCTGCATCTCGAGGGTCACTAAATTCCTGTACTTATCCAGTTCAGTGAAAAGACAGGCTGGAAGCTCTACTCACATATAAAAATGACAAGAAATTCAAGGTGGACATGAACTTGGCATTGTATCAAGTGTCATTGTTATGTGGCACACATTCATTGGATGTTGATGATCAAATGGATGGTTTTCCAACACAATGCACTTTGAATGACTAACTTCCATGTCTCCCTAAATTTATTTATAAAATAATAGGAATACATACCACAAATGCATAGTCACGCTTCATATCTACATCACGTACTCTGCGTAAATGGTTTCCAGAAACAGTAAGGCCATCGAGTCAAAATAACCAAAGGGTTGATACCTCGCCTCTCAGGATGAAGTAACACCACTTTGGGGTTGGTTCCATTCCCATCAAAACAAATATACATTAACAACAAAGAAAGATTCGCCACTCTTTGCAAGAATTTCAATGGATGCCACCAAGGTCAACCTCCCACCACATACCTCCCGTTGGGCAAAAACATAGAAACCTTCAGAAACATCATTCAAGATAAAATCTGAGACTAGTGGGACATTTTCAACCCTCATACATTTGAATGAAAATGGAAATCAAGACAATGACAATACAGTAATTGAAGCACCTAAAAGAGGCCCCACCTAAGAAATATCATAAAGAGCACAAAAAACCTTAGAGCTGTTTGTAACACAGGAAAAAACAATGAAAGAAAATAGAGCAGAAAAAATTTTGAGGGTAATAAAGGATAGATTCCAACTCAAAGAGTTGTTTCAGATGTTCATCAGTTTGTGCAAACTTATTTCAATTACTTATTTCTATAATAATTTTTCAAATTGATGAGAAAGATTTCTAAACATAAGGAAATGTTTTAAAACACAAATCATTTACCTCAACATTTTCAAATAAACACAAATTTGAGAAAATAACTTTCCTTGTTATTGTATTTCATTCCCCAAGAATTTTCCATTATCCAAACCAATGTTAAAAAAAAGCAAGGCACAGACGTGCCTCAAGACTGGACTCAAGAGATTTTTATTTAGAAAATCAGATTTCAGGTGATTTTTCCTTGCGAGTGGTTCAATTGAACACCTTTCAGGAAGGAAACATGGCCTAAAGAAGTATATGTTGTATGCAGATCTGAGGCATACACCTCATCTATATATGTTGTATATAGATTTGAGGCATACACCTCATCTATTCTGATATTTATTGGGGTTGGGATTAAATTAGTCTACTCTGTGAAATTAAATTATACCTGCTGGGAAACCTACGTTCTTCTATCGCAAACAGTCTTTACCTCTCGTCTTCTTGTTGCTGCAGGACCTGTGTAGCTGCTTGATTTCCTCCTTCGCCCCCAGACCCGAGTAAGTTTTCATCTTCTTTGAGCTTTCAATTGTATATGACTTTTTCTCATCTCAAGTTTCAGTTTGGTAAGTGCCTAAGTGTGTGTATACCGTACTTTATCTTGTCTTCTTTTGGAAAAGATGCTTTGATATTTTATGCTTCAGTATTTTAAGTGTGCGAGTCCATGCTGTGTTTCTGCCTTTTCCTTATAATATTTTGCTTTAATTTTTTATATAACATGGTTTGATGTTTAATGTACATTGATTACTACTTGCCACATTCGACTATTTTTTGTCACACCCACTATTCACATAGTCAAATTAAATCTTCTTTCTTTACATGCAGTTTTTAAATTTTATAATTTTATTTTTTTTATCACCAAAATATAAATGCATTTAATTTTTTAAAAAAAGTTTCACTCAAACATTGTAAACCAAAAAGAGAAAAACAACATGACGGGAGGGAGTATTATTTCTTGTATAGATCTCTCTAGTGTGATTCAATGTCAGATTCAACATGGGAACGAAGTAGACTTGACACCCGATTTCGAGGAAGGAATATAATTGATGTGTTGTGTAATTTTGTAAAGAAAACACCAAAAGATGGATTCTCTCACCTTGGGTACACAATACGCCTTTTGAAACATTGATCCAAATAAAGGTAGTACAATATGGAGTGAAAGATACTTTGTTTCCCAAGGGAGGTAAGATAAAAGGAGACAAATAAACCTCATTTTCTAATCCCTTATCTCTCATTAAAATGGACTGGAAGTTCACTATTTGTTAAAGAATTCACCTTTTTGTCTTACATGTTTAAGTTATGGCTTGTATGATATATGGAATAAAATTATTAATTTATAACTATGACTGTTATCTCCGTAAAAAATCAATACTTCGTGTGATAAAAAAAATACAATCTTTTCGTTTCTTATATCATGTAAATCAGAACTACAGAGATTCCAATAAGGAAAAATTAAAAGAGTATAAGAAAATATCATTTCTTGGACGGCATCACTACACCAGTAACAAATTTGAACCCAGAAACAAAATTTATCATGGAATGAAAACCTGAGATTCAGTGCCAACACTTGTGTTCGTGTAATCATATCAAACATGAACGCTCAATAAGATGCAAAATCTAGCGCAATTACCTTCCATATCTGCTAAAGATGTCCTCCAAATCTCGAGTTCGCGTCCTGGAAGAGAGGTGGCCAACATAGAGGCGGTTTCCACCGTAGCGATCATCATAGCGCGGCATTGTTCCTATAACAAAACAGATCTGAATTACGTCGCTGAAAAAATTACTCCTTTACAAAACAGATCATCACGAGCCTCGAACAGCTCACGCCCAATTAATTGTATCTCAACCAGACGAAAGCATACAAAGACTTGAATCAAAGAACTGGTTCGCAAATACCTGAGTTGAGTTCGGCGGCTGGAGTAATAACCCTAGATTTGATTTTGTGCTTTCAGAAATTCTACGGTATACGGAGAATATCTCCCGACGATTATTATATTGAAAAACTTCAGGAAGTATGGGCCATAACGGGTTTGGACTCTTGAAATCGTAGAAGAAATTGATAAGAGTGATGAGCCCATTTGTTAAACTTAATAGAACATGGACAATGAACAATGGGTTCCCATGACATTAGAACTTCATGTCATGAAATGTCCGCAAGTGCTCTGATGACCTGTTCGTAAAATTAATGTTTCCTACCTCTTCAATCTTCTAAAAAACCTTCACTCCTTTAATTGTATCTCGCAAGTTGATTTTGACTTTGGAGTCAAATTGTGGGGTGCAAATGAAGGGGTGGGGTGTGTTTGGGTCGGGGCAAGATGGAGGTTGAAGGGGTAGGAACCGTCAATTTTACAAAACATGAACCGGAGCACCCTCAGGTCATCCCATGACATTGCTGGACATTGTCATAGGAACCGCCCCCAAAAAATAGTATAGTCATCAAGTTGACAAATGAACAGAATGGCATGACCTATAGTGGCAAGTATTTTTTTAGATTACTTTTTTGCATATTTAATTATTAAAATTAATATTTCCAATTGTTGGATAATGTGTTATTATTATGAATATGTATATTTACAATGTTTTTTGCCTATAATCTTTCATGTTTGATAATGACAAAGGGTTATTAACATCATTTGAGTATCAAAGCAAAGAAAAAGATTGATTCAAAAGTTACAACGAGCTTATCAAGTTCATATTGAAGGGACGCTTTGGATCTTCAAGACCGAGCACTTTGTTACCTTGGTTAGTTGTCTTTTTAGGTCTTATGATTTGGGTTGAAGAGTATGGCTTCTCTTAGTTCATCCCTTGTGATAACCCTTTCGTAAAAACAACTTTTGGGTACATATATCTTTCCTTGCATAAGTTGATCTTTTATTTGAATGACCTTTAATTTAGCTTATTTAAATAAAATAGAGAACTTTATTTGCCAGCTTTGGAGCTCACTTATCGGAATAAATCGTTGTCTTTTCGAATAAGTTATTGTTATTTGTCAGTTGTGAATTTGAGTAAAGGACACCACTGTTACGCATTCCATTGCAAATCAAAGAGTTTTCAAGATATCACACTCAATTCTCTTCTCATATCCAAGTAGGAGATCATTGTTGCTCATATTTATTCCTCACTTGAGATTATCCTCATTTGTTGAGTCTTTGATAGATTAAGTTATATTCTATAGGAGATCAATGTATTGCAGCAATCTGTTTTTGTGCATGTAATTGTAACGCTATTTTTGTTTTTCTTTCTTTTTAGAGAGGTTGTAAACACCTTGACGTTGTTAGAAATCCGATTAGTTCCTGAAATCAAACGTTAGGTAAAAGAAATTACAAGTCTGGAAAAATCAATACTTTGTTGTTAAGATAAAAACCTTGAGAAACCAAGTTCTCGAGTTGAACCAGAATATCAAACTCCGTTGAGTTTGACGGGTTGGTAATGAATGCTCGAAGACCTTTGTACGAAGACTAAGGGGGTGTTTGTTTTTTCTACAGAAAAAGGTCTGCAGTCTGCGGACCACTACTGTAGACATCTGCAGGAGAAGTGGTGGACCGAAGGTCTGTGGTCTGCAAGAAGAAGACAGTTTGTTTTTTAATGTCTGTAGACTCCTATATAAATTAATGGTGGTAGTGTACGGTGGTAGTGTATGGACGATTGTGGTGGTGGTGGTGGGTGGTAGTGAAGGGTGGTGGTGGACGTTGACGGTGGTGGTGAAGAGAAATAGAAGAAAAAAATGGAGAGGATGTTAGAAGACATAGGTTAATGTCTTCTTGTAACACCCCAATCCGTATAACCCGGAATTTTACGAATTAAGGTGAAACGAGAGTTAATTAAAAATTTCGCTTGACATTTGAAAATGACAATTTCTTATAAATATCAAATTTACAGACTCTGGATCGCGACCCATTTAAAAAATATTTTTAGAGTAATGCGGAAGTACAATAATAATCAAATCATGACACATTTAAAAATCTGATGATCAACATTTGCTTGCCATCCTTGCATCTCCTCTGACTCAATGCCCTCCGGGAGTGGTTCCATCATTGTCTTCTTGTTACCTACGTGTAGTCAACGAAAAATACAAACTACACGCTCAGCGAAACCGCTGAGTGGTACCACGTTAGAATTGTAGAATGATTCTCAGACATATACATATACATATATATACGTCCACAAAATGTATAGTAACATTCATGATATGACACATATTATCATATGGTCAATTTGATGAATCATGATGATAAATATTTAATGATAATTACCTGATGGCATATATAATCAATATAATTATTTTTGATGATGATTACATAACAGCTATGTAATCAATATAATTGTTCTTGATGATGATTACATGACACCTATGTAATCAATGTACTTGATGATGATAACATGATTTCACATTTAATCAATTTGATTGTTCTTGATGATGATTACATGACACCTATGTAATCAATGTACTTGATGATGATAACATGATTTCACATTTAACCAATTTGATTGTTCTTGATGATGATTACATGACACCTATGTAATCAATGTACTTAATGATGATAACATGATGCATGATTCTAACGAGTAAGGACACCCTTGCGCTATGAGATTCACCCATTTTGTACGACGAACTCACGCGGCCTTAGTCTCACGAATGAGGTGAGACTAGAAAGATAGGGGTGGTACTCGAAACCTGAATACCATGTACGTACACTAAGCCCAGAACGGGTGATGTCGGACTAGTAAGTCCCGCACATCACGCTATAAGAGACGCAATTACGCATGATCTCTTACGCATGCATATGATATGATATGCTACAATATGTGTGATGAAATGAATGCTATGGCATGAACAATTTATAAACAATGTGTATATATAATCATGCATTAGTTTATTTGGATGAAACATAATTAAAATATCATTTGATTAAGCTACGAGGCTCGGAACAGTCGACCGCTTGGCGCGACGGTCGACCTCGACCTTCATTACGTCGGGCTGGCGGAACACCGTGACGGTCGACCGTGGTTGACCGGCGGTCGACCACTGTTGACTGGATGGCGACGGCGATTCTCGGCTGGGCAGGCGACGATCGACCGTTGGCCACCGGCGGTCGACCATTTGTCTGACAGTCAGGGTCCATTTCGATGTTTAATGCGACGGTCGACCGTTTGCGTCGACTGTTTGGGTCTGCAAATCTTTCTCTTGATATTTTGAGTGTCCAAAATACTTCTTTAAGTCTTTTAAGCACCTTTGATTAACATATACATATTGTTGGGTTGATTTCCAATGTTTATATTTACTTATGTGTATATTAACTTTATGGGTTTGGTGTATTTTGATCTCAACATATAGATAACTTATATATGTATCACATATATATTTTGGAATGGTTTTAACATATGGAATAACTTATATGTTCATGTATGTATGTGATGAATGATTCGACAAGTCTAACGCAAAGGTACAGACCTGGAAATCATCGGCCGAAACCTTACGGATGAGCGGAAGTGGAAACAACATCGAAATTTGCCAACTTTGTCATTTCCGTCACAACTGGACAACCTGCGGTAATTTGGGCATATCTTCATCGTTTCTTCACGAAATTGCAAACCGTTTGATTCTATGGATTCCTAAGATGTAAGGCTACAACTTTCGTATAGAAAGTATTTCGTTTTAACATATGTAAGATAGCGTAAATCGGACCTGAAGTCAATAGAAAGTTGCTGTCCAGAATTTCGGGTATGTCGATGAACATGATTCCGACGATTAACTCACTAACTTCAACATTCCGACGCCGAACTTTTTTGCAATACCTTCCGGATGTTCCTAATAATTGTTAGAGAGTTTATGGTAAGTATTTGGGATGAAATAATGTGAATTTTGGTGAAGAAAAACATGCCAACCCGAGGAGCTCGCCACCACTGACGCAGTTCCGGTATTTTGGCCATATCTTCTTCGTTACTTAACGAAATCACGAGCCGTTTGTTGGGTTGGATTCGTATCTTCCGGGGCTACAACTTTGGTTCAGAAAGTATTTCGAGATAATGGATGGAAAATTTCAGTTTTTACCTAGAAGTGGGCTGCTGTGTTTGAACTCAGGATTTTAGAAACTTTAGCTACTTTCTTCTTGCTCCTTCTTTTTCCTTAACATGAAATCATGGAGTTGGAATCTCCTTTTTCCTTCCTTGGTGCCTGACCGACAGAGAGAGAGAGGTGAAGAGGAGATATGATGGATGGATGATTGATGATGATGTTTGATGATGAATATGTGGTGGAGAAAATGGAATAAAGGTGGGAGTATTATATAGGAAGGGTTGGATTATAGTGTTAGTGGAGTGGAGTGGGGTAGCTAAGGAGAAAAGGTCTCGTGATTGAAGGAGTTTTGAAGATTTTAAAATATTCTCCTACTCCGTAACTGATAAACTGGCTAAAACGGTACGCGCTTTTTCGCCTAAATTGTTCCGAATTGAAAACGGATTGTGTTTTTGGAAACAGACTGTCAAAATTAGAATTTTGACGTAATCAAAATATTTTTCTGAGAACTTTTATTTTTCTCAGTGTTTGGGTCTGTCTCAGTCATAAATTAATTCAATAATATAAATGATATAAAAATATATGAATTTAATTCAAAAGATAAATATGGTGTTGTCAAATGTCAAAGATTTAGATTTCTAATCTTAAGAAATTACAATTTTTAATATTTAAAATTGTCATAGTTTGCAATTTATAAATGAGATTGATTCATAAAATGTACTGTTGGAATCGTCTCTTCGGGACATATCCATAAAAATAAGTTTTTAACAAAAAGTCATTATTTTGAAAATCCATTTATTTTTGGTCAAACGTATAAATATTCCTTATTGGACAAAAACTACTTTTGTTTTATAATAAATTTTAGGCCATATTTTGTGGCGTTACACTTCTCCAAGAAGATGCCAGGAAGACCTTTTTGAGTGAAATGTCTTCCAAAAAACAAACAATCTGCAGAGCTCAGCATCTGCGCGCGTCTGCGCGGCGCAGACAAAAGAGGCCAGAAGCTCTTTTGGCCAAAAAACAAACACCCGTAGGCATTTGGCCGAAGCAATACAACCTTTGTTCTTAACTTACACACACATTGTCATTAATAAATTCTTTTTTCTTTCCTTTTTTTGTTGTGGAATTTTTTGTGGGTTTTCTTTCAATGTCTCTCCTCTTTAATACGGAATACGGAATATTAGTTCATTGGTTTTCTTTTATGGCATGTTTGGTAATTTGGATTTAGATTTCAAATCCGGATTTAGCTCAAATTTCTTGTTTGAGAAACATAAAAATTTTGAATTTAGATTTGAGTCAAATTCATCTAGTTTATAACAAAGTTAATTTAAAATTAATATACTTCTCATTTTAAATTGAAATTTAAGAATTCAAATTTTGGAATTGAAATGAAATGCTAGTTCTTGAACACTACCTTATCTTTTTTGTCGGTCGATTATCATTTTTAAGAAATACTTTAATATTTCGAAATAAACTCTATATATATATTTTAAAAAATTTGACGTAGTCTTTAGCGTTAATATTTTCAGAATTAACCAACCAATTCTATTAAAATTTTATCCAAAACGCTAATGTTAATCGAAAACGTTGTTCCCAAACAGGACCCCAGTCATGAAACCACGGGAAATATGTAAGAATGTGTGCAATAGCACAACTCTTGATTGAAACTATTTTTTATTTAATTTAATTTAAAATGTAAAAAATATCCAACAAAAATTATATGCTCGTCTTTAAGAATTTTATACAATAAGACCATGTTCCTTGGGATTGGAACTTCAGAGTGCGATCGATGTTGAAAGAAATCGAAAGGACCTGAACGAAATTGGAAAGAATTTGAAAAAACTAGAAAGAATTGGAAAATTTCGTGTGTTTAAACATCCCACAGACGTGATATATTATATTCATCATATATAAATATCTTTTGTTGAAACACTACCCACACATATCATGAGACAAAATCACAATTTAAACCGAATGGACCAACACACTGACCGAGAGTGATTATATAAAGGGAAAAGCCTAAACAAAAGTCACACTCGGATCAAAAGGATAACATACAATATTCATTTTAGTACACTCTTTTATTCATTTATATATAAAGGACGATTCATTCAAATTTATAGATGATGATGAAGACTATTAATAAGATGTCAAAAAGTCTACTTGTCGGACTTCAAGCCTGCGATGACTCCTTTTATTTATTCTTCAGAAATTCCATCCCACCAAAAGTCTCAAAAACTGCATTACCTGCGCCCATTGTATATACACAAATTACAAAATCTCTATCAAAATAAGATAGTATATAGTACTCCCTCCGTCCTATAATGATCTTTTCAGAGCACTATTCCAACTTCACGGGAATTTATATTTATTTGTGTTTTTTCATGGCCTATATGATAAAATAAAATATTCTTGTCACCACTTGTTTTGTTGAGCTTTTGATGTAGTTTTTAAATATGTATGTTTTATTTTTTATTTCTATACCAATATTTAAATAAAATAGATTGAAAAAACTTGGGATTTTTCTTCGTTTTGCGAACCGGGAAGATAGGACGGAGGGAGTATATGTTTTAATGTGATTAGTTAAAGTGAAATTTGGACTAAATAGTATCAAAATATTTGTCATTTCTCAATGTAGTACTTAAACTTTTTATTTTTTCTAAGTGGTGTGAATAATGTCCACTGATGGTGTGAATAATAATGTCCACTGATGGTGGACATTCATTTTGAACAATGTCCAATGGCGCACTCTTCATTTATTACGTAGACCTGACTCACATCATTTAATATATCCTAGCTACTTTCATTAAACACAATTTGGTAATGACTTTTGTCCCTTTTCAACTCTCCGAAAAAGAATAAAAACTTCGTGTGGTAAGATTTTCTCCTGATAGATGGAGTAATTAATAGAGTATTAATATCAAATTAATCCTCTATATTTTTTACTAGTAATTATGTCCGAAAGTTCATGCATTAGGTATATAATAGATGAGAGAGACAAAGATCTTGTTTAGAAAAAACATTTCGATCAGTTTAAAATTATGTAGATTAATTTTTAGAAAATTAAAACAAAATATTATCGCCAAATAATATTTTCAAACGCTACCTCTAATTTATGGCGTTGTGGTCAAATATGATGTTGTTTAGAAAACGTTTTCGATTAGTGTTAACATTTTTTTAAGTTTAATATTATAGATTAACTTTGAAAAAACTAAACCAGACATTATCGTTAAATAACATTTTTCAAACCCTAAATCTAATTTATAGCATTAAGGTCAAATTAATTAAAGAAGAAAAAAAAACCCTAGCTAGTAGTAAGCAATTAATACTTGCCTCTAATGGTTCTTCCAAGGAAAATGAGGCGTTTGTTTCTTTGGGAGTTTTAGAAACAATGATCCCTAAACCTTAACTTCTCTGCCGGAGAACCTAATTTAATCATTACGAGAGAAAAAAAATTCCATAAACAAAATTAAATTATACTCCATATTATGAAAAAATATATAGAGTTCAGGGAAATCAATGCCATAATTATGGAATAAAAAGAGAAATTAATTACTCCCTCTGTCCCCCATAGATCTTCCCAATATCCCTTTTTCTTTGTCCACAATAGATCTTCTCATTTCATTTTTTAACAAGTAAAATACCACAACTACCCCCACTTACTTTATTTATTACACCTCACCCACCTCATTTAATACACTCCACCCATTTTTCATTAAGGGTATTATGGTAAACTTTCACCTTTTTTCAACTCTCCTTAAAAACTACCAAAAGTCAAAATGGGAACATCTTAGGCGGACGGAGGGAGTAATTAATTAGGGAGTAATAATGAATAATTTGTACCGTGAACGCATCCTCATCGGTCCGATCATCTCCGATGTATACCGGAAAAACATCATCGGAATTATTTCCATAGCCCAATGATTCCAACAAAAATTCAAGTGCATTGCCCTTGTCCCACTTTATGCAAGGTCGAATTTCTAATACCTTAATTATTCAACCAAGAAAAAAAATGCATCATTATTAATTATTGTTGTTGTCGTTATTATTATTATTTACGAGTAATATTTTTATATACTCTTGTCCCACACGCATTATTCTCTCCGACCTATAATAATTTGCCTATTTTGATTTCACGAAAATGAATAAAAATATTGATAAAATGCAAAAAAAAGTAAAGAATAGAATGAACCATAAAAGTAAGTGATTTTTTGCATTAAATAGTACTAAAACATACTCCCTCCGTCCCAAAAAACATTTCTCCTTTCTTTTTTCATCCGTCCCAAAAAACACTTCTCATTTCTAGTAATCTATCCATCAAATCATACTTTTACTCATCACATCAAAAGACATTTGTGGAAATTCAATACCAAAATACACTTTCCTTAAATACCTCTCCAAAACCAAAACTCCCATGTTTTCCAGGACGGAGGGAGTATGTCATTTCACAATGTAATACTTAAACTTTTTTATTACCTAAATAGTACTTGAATAATGTCCCGTGGCGGGACTAATATTCAGTGATCATGGACATTATTTAGTTTGAACAATGTCCAGTGGTGATAGAAATTTACTTGAACAATGAGCAGCTGACAATTAATGATCAGTGATACTACATTAGAAAATAAAAACATATGGTACTATATTAGAAAAATCACTATATTTTTTTACTATTTAGATAAATTACCCTAAAAGTATCTCAAGCTAAGTAAACTGCTGGAAGGTAATTTTAATTGAAAAATATGGAATTAAACGTACCATCCTTCCTTGAGACAATCGTAGCTTTGGGTATCCTTTGAGAACAGATTTTACGTGTTCAGCTACCTCAATCCATTTCTAATTAAATCCCCCCAAATAAAAAAATAAAAAAATAATTAGTTATGTAGCTAGAAATAAAATTAGTCCTCCATAAAAATACAAAAAATTTATTTGAGGAAATAATAAAATCAATTAATAAAATGAAAAGAAAAAATACATTTTCTTCCACACAACGATAATGCACGGACAAACAAAACTTGTTGTCCTCCACTTTAGCACCCTCAATTGATTTTGTTTTCTCCAATAAAATTTTGTGCACCTGAAAAATGGTAACACAGAAACAATTTTTGCATGCACGTAAGTAACATGTTAAAATTAAAAAAAAAAAAGATCTGACTACAATTTTTTTGAAAATATTTTCTTATGCCTACCATCATAAATTCGAATTCTCCGTTGAATAATATTTTTGATAATAGTTTATAAAAATATAAAATTTATTTTTTACCTTTACAAAAATGTTTAAAATAAACAAACATTCACCTACCTCATCAATGATGGGTAAAAACTCTTTGGCTGGCTGGCACAAAAGAGACTTTCCCCCCTGAAATAAAGTGTATCAATATAATAATCTTATTATAATTTGCACGTTGCAATTTTTAATTAATTAATTACAATTAATTACTACAAATTCAAGAATTGCTAATAATGTTTGCCTTTGTGTAGGCCGTGTGGCCCTCTTCTGGTCCCTTGATGTCCATCCCGTGACTTCCAGCATAATAAAGTTCCGATAACTTTACAAATTCATAAACCTGATAAATTTTACAAAAAAAAGCACACTTCCTAATAAATATATTAAAGGTATAGTGCAAATGACATATTTGGCATTAATTTCAGCTTTTTAAAAACTAAATAGCTATACAATACTCCCTCCATTTCTTAAAACAATTTCTCATTCATTTGTAAACAAAGCGAGTATTAGATTTTAATTTGTTTTAACACTTTTAAAACTAATTTGTATCATTAAAAAATATTCAAAATGCCAACAAAATCACAAATGCTAAGAATAAATAATACATAATACTTCGTAAATAAAACACCAAAAAATACAAGTTGCAGCTCCATGTTTTTTCTCCACAAAATAAATTTGCCCTGTTTGAAAGTTGGTTGTTGGCTGTTAGTTGTTTGCGTTTGCTGATTTGAATGACAGGTAGTAGAGTTAGCTCTTTTGACTAGACCATTGCATTAGCTATTCACAAAAAATGTTTGGCAAATTTAGCTGTTTTTTAATAGTTGTTGTAGATGTAATTATATTTAAAAACTTAATTTTACGCATATGATTCGTATAATATAATATAATTTATATATAACATGAATTAAAAATTAAATTATACTCCATAAAATATAAAATGTTCTTCAATATAATATAATACAATTCATATATGTAACATATATATATATATATAGTAGACTATTTAACAAATTATATTAATTATATAAAAAATATTTTGACTAGAGTCAATATTTTATGCATACTTAGTTTTGCTATATAAAAAAAAAGAAAAAGTGTTTGCCTTCCATTTTGAAGTATTAGACCATTTAACAAATTATATTTATTATAAAAGTTATTTAGTACGGAATATGTAAGTTTTTTATTTCTGTACCAATTTTCGAATAAAATAATTAAAAGAAAAAAATACCCCGTAAGTTCTAAGTGAATTTCATTTCAGGATGTGAAAGTAGTTATTATTTACTCATGTGTTTGTTTTTTATTTACTTCATTTATATTTATTTATTTACTTATCTATTTATTTAATATTTATACAATAAATAATTATACTCCAACAACTAACTCGAAAGGCTACTCTTCCCATCTTCTCATATTTTGGCTTTTCGAACTCTAACAGCCAACTACATTCAACAGCCATTTGGCAAACACTCTATTTGGCTGTGTGACTGGTCAAAAATCCAAAATTAGTCAACAACCAAGAACCATCCGAAAAGCCAATACCCAAACATGTCCAATACCAATATGTATGTCAACATATATATAATGCCAATAAATATTGTAAAATACCAAAATATAATGTCACATTGATATATTATCACACTAGAAACTTTTTTCTAAAAAAATAATGATATAGAAGTGATCATATTTGGATACTTCCGTTATTTTAGATGATTAATTTGGATTTTATAAAAGAGGGGTCTATATAGGTAACGTGCGTACCTTTGATATGCACCTCCCGGTGACAATGGCTGTGGGGAAATGTTTTGCAACATCTCTTACCGTTTCCCTCATCTATATATACGATTTTAAATAAATAAATTAATAATTTAATTAAAACAATCTAATTATACATAGATGGTGGACGATGATAATGTAAAATCAAAACAAAATAACTACTTCTAAACAATAAAATGCCCGCCCCTCACAAAATTAATTTTTTTCCAGATTATATGGCTGTAAAGTTTGAATTTAAATTAAACTTGTGATTGTGGTCCAAAAACATATTTTATATTCTTACAAAATACGGAAAATATATGTAAATCTAAAGAGGAGTGCTTTTTTTCTTTTAAATAAATTCTCAATATACACTTTTACTATTTAGTATAATATCTGCAATCTTTTTGGAATGGATGGAGTATTTTCAAATTCCTAAAATTAAATGGAGGGAGTATTTTCATTTTTTCAACAATTACGGAAAGTTTTCATTGATTATTTGATAAAATAAAATATTCTTTTTCTTGGACCAAGCTCAAAATATACATACATACATACATATACATACATACATATATATATATATATATATATATATATATATATATATATATATATATGCACCAAGGAATGAACCTGGGTGGTGATGAAGGCTTTGTCAGGGTCAGCAACAATGGGGGAAAGGGTACCATCATAATCCAGAAACATTACTATCTGTTTCCCTTTATAAGCCTCCTTTATTTCCTCAAACTTGCCCAATGCTGATGATGATGGTTGACCACCAATCTGAACATAATTTCGGTCAAATATTGTAAAACGCAACGAAATCATAGTTTTAATTTGGACAAGCATTATGTCCGCGGTCAATTCATTCATGATGTATAAAGTATACGGAGTATATTTTTAGCACTTACCGTCCAAAGGTTTTCGTAGGAAGCGTCGAAGGATCTTTGGATCGTCGAGGATGTTGGCGATGAAGCCCTCATCAAACCTAACAATGTCGACGTCGGGTCAACCGTAAGCGGCACCCGGTCAACACCTATCGGCGGCAACACTGCATTGCGATGGCATTGGTTTCTCATTATTTCTCTCTTCTTTTTTTTAAAAAAAAAATTGTTTCTTGTTTTGGTTAAAACTTCTTCCTATTCAAAGAATGCAATGCAGATTCAGTGGTTCATCAAGCAGTGTGTATATATAATAATGGACAAGTTGCAGTGAGGAAGTAACCATGAAGTTGCACGTACGGCAAAAGGTTAATTACATTTGATTATTTAAAAACCAAAATAATTAAATACTGCCTCCGTCCTGAAATATTCTTCGCATTTGACTTTTCTTGGTCAAAGTTTGTAAACTTTGACTATGATATATGAAAAAAATGCATTATATTACGATATAACTTTAATATGAATATATCCATTTTGAAATATAGTTTTCAAATATTAATTTTTTATAAAATATATCCATGCATAAATAAAGATATTAGTGCTCAAAGTACAATCTTGGAGACCGTAAAAAGTCAAATGGAAAGAACATTTTCGGACGGAGAGAGTATAAGTCAACATTTTTAAAGTTAGTAAAAAAAAGTAAAAGTTATAAAACTAAGCAACCAGGAAATGATTTGAAAGTGAAATCAATTAACGGACAAGTAATTAAGACTGCTGGCGTGTGATTGCCTTACGTGGTCTACCACTTACCTCATGAGTGACCCGGAGGGTGTGTAAAATGGTCAGCCGCACAGACCCTCTAAAATTTTACGGACTCATATTTTTAAATTTACCATTAATTTTGAAATATAAGTATTCTAAAATAATAAAATAGGGCCCAATATATAAATTTCGGATCTGGCCAATTTCATTTTTTTCATTTTTCGAGACTGGCCCTGACTTACCTGACCTGGCTTGTCTTTCCACTCGGGAGACTGTCATTATCTATGGGAAAAAGACTAAAGTAGAAATAAAATTTTGAAAATATATAAAAACAGGAGTTTCATGTATGAACAAAGATTTTACTCTACGGCCAACCGATATTCTTGTGCTTGGATAGGCAAGGGGGAACACACTTGTGTGAATCTTAATTACAGTCGTTACAGGTGTGTCCCCTCTTGTTGGGCTAGCTAACAGATAATGAATTTGTTGCTGGCCTATCAGTTTTGAATGAAAAATTAGACAAAGTGAGTAAATACGAAAAAAAATTGCTTAGAAAATCAACATGCGTTTATCTCATTTGCTTTCGATACATTTGGTTCCCTAGCCTAGAGGCAATGGAGTTTCTTAATTAACAAGGTCCAGTAGGTCATGTATAGTAATGTCTCAGTCTCTCAGGCACATAACTTTATTTTTAGTAGAATCGAATGGTATTCAAAAGGGGGTTGCAGCGCAACTTGTTGTTCGTTTGCCTACAACTTTTTTGTAATAGGTTGAAAGTATAAACTTAAAAGAGCTTCATTTCACAAAAGATTGCCTAATAGATCAAAATGAGAGGTGAATGTGCAATAAGTTGCACCGCTAGCCCTTTTTTAACAACACAACTAAGTCTTTTTTGTAATTGGTTGAAATTATGAACTTGAAAAGAGTTATATTTCACAAAATATTATCTCATACATCAAGATTGAAGATAAATGTGCAACAGGTTGAGCCGCTTGCCCTTTTTGAATAGTAAAATTAAGACTTTTAATTTTAAAAACACATTCATAGATCTAGAGATCATAACATCACTATGCATGACTTGTTGGACTCCCATTCCACCGATTTTTTTAGTGCCAACACCTAGAGGACCACGAGCCGCTGTATATGGACTTTTAGATGAACAATCATGTTGAACGGATCACACACCGTTGGATATGCATTCCACAAGGACAACTCGGCTAATAAAGACTAAGGCTACTAGGAATGAACGTGTAGACGGACACCTTGACAAACGAGATGGGCTAGAACTGGCTCTGATACCATGATAAAATTTAGGACTGGGTAGTGGTTACTGAACTGGGTCATAAGACACTTGGGCTGAACAATATTAAAAGATATATTGAATCCAATCAATTAATTAGTTCAACCAATAAAAAGTTTATATACCGATTTATATTCTTTTCAAGTTTCAATATGATCGAGATACTTTTTAACACATGTATTTGTAAAATTATGTTTCAACTTTTAAAAAAAATATTTGTGTTGGGTTATTTGATGCACGCCATTGGAAAATTAAAAATTTACTAGTGTCGGCTTGGCCGACGCAAACTTTACGTGGGCTTACTTGGCGCAAGTAACCTAACTCTTTTAGTTTAACAATTAGATTGAATGACAGAGAAAGAAAGTGAATAAAGTTTGATCATGTGAATAGTGAACATGCATTATAATTTGGGACGGAGAGAGTACATTATAAGATTAGCGGCCCTAAACTAAGTAAAATTTGTCTTATCTTCCATACATTTTTCGGTTTAGAAAATTTTATGATGGACCTATAAATGAGCAAAATAAACATTTCTTTATTACTAAAATAAGAATTTGTTTTTTAAATAAAAAAATAAAAAAGCCCTTGTTTTATTGAACTTTAATGTATTTCTCAATATGTAAATTTTATTTTAAATATAAATTAACTAATACTCACTCCGTTCTCAAAAACACTTCCTCTTTCATTTTTTCCACTTCCAACAAAACACTTCCCCTTTCTATTAAAAAACCACTTTTACCCTTACTTTTTCATACCCTACCTATCACATCATATTTTTTCTCTAATAATCTATCCATCACATCTTACTTTTACCCATCACATCAGGGGCAAAATTGGAAATCAACTATAACTTAACACTTCCTTATTTTTGCCCCAAATCCAAATGGGAATTGTTTTTCCAAACGGAGGGAGTAACATAAAGTAAATTGATTATTTATGTACGAACGAAAGGAGTATTGTTTTTATTTTATGCAAAAAAGTGTGTGTGTGTGTCTATATACATACATATGTATGTATGCATGCATGTATGTATGTATGTATGTATGTATGTATGTATGTATGTATGTATGTATGTATGTATGTATGTATGTATGTATGTATGTATGTATATATATATATATATATATATATATATATATAATGTTTAAACCATTAGATCGACCAATCAACCAGTTTCTCTATTGGTTCGGTCACCGGTCCAAAGTTTAGAACTATGTTCTAAACACCCCTTTTATATAAGTGATGTTTTATAAAAATTTTAAATTTATATAATGTAACAGTAACTTGGTATTAAAAAAATTGGAGTAAATTTAATAATTGGTCCTTTATAATAAAGGGGTTTCCATATTAAGTTATCTATTATCAAATATTACTTCTGTAATCTTTCTTTTATGGGTGTCTTTCTATAAATGATCCTTTTTTAATCTTCTTTAATGTTGGTATTCGTTTAAAGGCTAAAAGTATATATATTTTGACATCAACCTTATGTCTAGTGACATATTCTTATGTTGGTTAGACGAATAACACAAAAATAATGACTATAATTGTGAGCTAGGATTTCGACGAAAGATCACTCTTGTAGACTATGGTTGTATAAGAAAGCGACTGTAATTCACAAACGACGCATCAGTAGTGACTTTTGACATTGTGTATGACAAGAAAGATATATTATCATATTGAAATTACACTTTTAGCCTTCAAATTAACACCAACATGATAGAAGGTAAAAAGAACAATTTGTGAAAAGATAACCATAAAAGAAGAATCATCAATTAATATTTGATAGCAGAGGATTAAATAGAAAAATCTCTCTGATATTTGTTGCGACTAGAATTAATCATTCTAGTTTGACTTCATGAATTTAAAAAATATGTAGAGTATTAGAAAAAAAAAACATATAGTTCAATCTTTTTTAGAGAATGAAAAAGTTGTGGAACATTTATTATTTAAGGAATAAAAAGAAAAATATTACAATTATTTTTAAATATCCCATCATCATTTGACTCAATCAAACACTACCTTCTCTTGTTCTTGCTTCCCATCAACAAACTCAAATAAAACAAAACCCTAAAGAAGAAACCCCAAGCAACAGTGATCCACAAGCAGCTCCATTTCCCCAGATCCATCACTCCCTGCTGCGCCAGCACATCGGCTCCGGTGATCACGCACGTCCCGCCGGTAATCCGGATTCCCAGCGTCCCACTCATGCTACTCAACAACCTCCCTTTCATGTCCGTCGAGACTCCGGCGAGCGGCGTCCCGTCGAACATCTGAATCCCCCGCACGAAGCACTTCGTCGGGTCCTCGAACTCGTTCCTCAACACCGCCTCGAACGGGTACTTGATGAGGGAGATGTAGTGGAACCATATCCAGTACGGCGGGATGCGGTTCCGGTTTATGAAGAAGCCGCTGAAGAGGAGGAAATAGGCCAGGATGGCGACGACAATGACGTAGCCGATCATTACGTGGGGGACGACGCCGGAGAGGAAGGTGACGAACGAGTTACCCGCCCAGAACGAGGCGAGTATGACTCCGGTGTAGAACAGGAACCCGGAGAGGCCGCCGTCTAGGCCGACCGCCCAGAAGGTCAGGGCAGAGAAGGCGAGGGAGAGGAGGACTAGGGAGGGGAAGGATACGAGCGCGTGGGAGAGGCAATAGGAGGATCTCCGGTAGGCGTTGTGGGCCGTCTCCCGCATGAATATGAACCTTTCTTGGATGAAAACCGGGAGCGCTTCCGCGCACGTGTAGAACGTTGTCGACATTGCGAAGGCGAAGAAGCCGAGCCGCTCTTGGATGCCCTTCGGGGAGTCGTCGAGACGCCAGAACATGGTGGCTAGGATGAACCCGGTTATGACTACTGCGCCTAACCGGATTCCGAAAAGGGCCGGCATTCTCCGGGAATTCTTGAATGACCGGTTCGACAGGACCGCGGTTTCGGTCCAGAACGGGTTTGCAAATGTGGGGACAAGGGATTTGTGGTTTACATTGGAGGTGGCGGTGGCCCCGGAGACTAATTTTCCACGAGAAATGCTTGCTATGATGGACTCCTTTAGTGATAAACCGTGAACCGGAGAAGTTCCGGTCCGGTTACTCTGCCAAGTTCGGTTGAATTCGGCCAGACACTTGGTTCCTTCGGGAGAGACTTCCAACTCACGAATAAGGTCAAGTGCAAACTCAGCCCGGTTCTCATTTTCCGGGATTGGGTGTCCGAAATCCGAGAAGAATCGGGGTAAATCAGAAGGTGAACCGCCATACACGGTCCGCCCACGAGAGAGGAAAAGAACCCGGTCTAACAGACCCATGATCCGGTAACTCGGTTGGTGAATGGACATGATCACAATGCTCCCACTCTGAGCGATCCTCTGCAGAACTTTCACCACCATGAACGCGCTCGTTGAGTCGAGCCCCGAGGTCGGCTCGTCAAGAAAGAGGATGATCGGGTCGTGAATGATGTCGATCCCTATAGACACGCGCCGCCGCTCCCCGCCGGAAACGCCGCGGTGGCCTTCGTCTCCAATCACCGTCTTCGCGGCGTTCCGGAGGCCCAACTGATCGATCAACGCCCGGACGCGCATGCCCTTCTTCGCCGCGGAGTGGGACCGCGGGAGCCGGAACTCCGCGGCGAACATGAGCGTCTCCTCGACGGTGAGCATGGGGTACAAAAGATCGTCTTGCATGACGTACGCGGAGATGACTTTCATCAAGCCGGAGTCCAACGGCTCGCCGTTGAGCTTCACGGCTCCTTTCAGGCTCTCCTTGGCGATCCGGTTCGCGAGGGCGTCGATGAGCGTCGACTTCCCGGACCCCGACGCGCCGAGAACGGCCATGATTTCCCCATCACGCGCCTCGCCGGAGATGTCGTTGAGAAGCGTTTTCATCTCTCCGTCGCCGGCGATCGCCCCGCTCCGGGACCAGAAACCCGCCGGAGTTCCCATGCTCCGGCGTGCTTTCACGTTGTACGTCAGGTTCTGAAAGGAGAGAACAAAGGGGAGAGGCGTCCGGCCGGCGGGATCACTCACGTCAAGAACGCGGTGCTCAGGTGATTCATCTCCGGCGACTGGATCACGGCGGGGGCTCAAGAGATGGGCGAGCTTGGATCTAGCGGAAGAGGGAGATCGGGCGGTGGCGGACATATCGGAGGAGGGGGATACGCTCCGATCATAAAGAGGCGTGCGATCAATTGCCGCCGGCGAGATCTTTTCGGCAACTATCCGAGACATTAGGAACAAAAGTTGTCAAAACCCGGATAAAACGACGGCGTTTGAAATATGTACTTAGAATTATACAAGTAGGTGATGGGAAGTTGGGTTGGATTTTATGGGTTGTACCAAAGCCCTAGCTACTACCTTATTTTTTGCATGGATGTATGTGTGTGTATATATATAGAAAGGGAGAGATGTAATAATACAAAGTTACAATTAAATCCATATATTGAAAAATACTCCCTAGCTACTAGGTATAGCTTCTTAGGATTATGCACAGGTGGTCAAAAAATATCACTCTTTCATCAAAAACATCAAAATTGAGAAAATTATTTTGGAACGATAAAGTATTACAATAATCTCGAATTTTCAATATTTGATTTTGTATGTTTTTTAATATTAATAAACATACTTTATCATTTGATTTTAGTCCGTATTTTTTTAAAGAAATCACGTAAAATAGGAGCAAATTATAGTTCTTGTTTCCAAAAAATAAGAGTGTCAGTGCACGTTCCTCTCAAAATATATTTATTACACTGTGACACTGTATTTTTTGTTATTACAGAGTACTCCGTATATGATATCATTATAGAAATTATTTTGGGGATAAAAAGAAAATTAAAGGTTTTATTTTAATACTTCTCATATGTTTTATTCTTATTTTAATTTGTTCCCATAATTTTTCAATATTGATCGTTTATTAGAGAATTTTCCATTGTGTCTTTTTTTGTCTCAATGAGTTATTTCATTTGTGACTTTTTTTAGTCAAGTATTGTCTTAAATGTATGAAAATTGCCTTAAGAGGTATGGTTTGTAAGAAACACTTCCACAAAAATATATGTTTGCGGAAAATGTCAAACATGGAATTTCTCAATAAGATCCGAGCAGTAATAAAAAAAGAAAATGTGTAACAAATTAGTCAAATGTACGTACAATACATTAAAAAAATTTAATTTTAGAAATAATGGTTACAGTTGTTGAACTTTAACTTCAAACGTCAAATAACTCCATCCATGTCTATTTTGGGAAGGTTGAAGTAGCTATGTGTCAAATTGTGACAATAAGTTTTTTTAAAAAATACTCTATTCGTTCCAATTTAAATCGTGTTCTGTTGTTTATGATATTTGACTGAAATTATTTTTAACGTATTTTATTTGGAAATTGGTGTGAAGTTCAAAAATAAATTACATATTTAAAAAATACATCAAATGATCTACAAAATCGGATGTGATCAGAAGCACAAACTTAAACTTTTGGTCAAGTTGGTGACACATGGGAATTTTAATTAATAAAAGCAACCTTGGAATACACAAAATTAAATTACAATTGTAAAAAAAAGAGTTATGGAATAATTAAAATGTTTATTTATGAAAAAAACGTAGAGTGCTCCCAAAATGGGTGACCTAGTTTTACCACCTTCATCAACATGTTCATCTGCCTAAATTTCTCTGTTCCTTTAGAAAAAAACATGTAATTCAGAATTGTTCCCGTTCTCCTAACTAAATTTCTAGCCACTCACTTTTCACAACTCGAACATCTTGTTTTATACTCCCTCCGTCCCAAAAAGTTTGTTACGTTTAGAAAAAACTGCGTCCCATAAAGTCCGTTACATTTCTATTAAAAAACCACTTTTACCCCTTACTTTTTCATACCCTACCTATCACATCATACCTTTTTCCTAATAATCTACTCATCACATCCTACTTTTACCCATCACATCAAGGGTATTTTTGGAAAGTCAATACCAAAATATCTCTCCCTTAATTTCCCAAAAAGTCAAACCGTCCCATTCTTTTTGGGACGGAGGGAGTAATATTCTTAACACTTTTTTTAATAACTAAAAGTGTTTAAATTAATTTGAGACAAGAGAGAATCAAACTGTTAGAAATCCGGTGTGCTGAGAACAACAGAGAGAGTGTCGAGTAAAATTAATTACTTCTATATTAAGCCGGGACTTAATTACTTTCTAGTGGTATTCTTCTTTATTTTTCGATGCGGAAACTTCAACACTCTCCCTAAACTGGTAACTACTTGACCTAGTTAGCACTTGAACGAACATGTTAAAGAGCATTCCACATCGGAAAAGTGTGAGGAAATTAATTGGTATATAAGCTCTTGATACCATGATAGAATTTAGGATGGGTATGGACAACTAGATTGGGCTATAAGACACTTGAGTTGAACCACATTGAAAAATTGAATCCAATCGATTAGTTAGTTCAACTCAAGAGCTTGTATACCGATTAATTTCCTCACACTTTTCCGATGTGGGATGCTCTTTAACAAAACATGTCTAGCATTTCAATCCTTAATAGTTAGCCCACACAAAAGGTGGTGACATCTCAATATCTTATAGCCAACTCAACCCAGACCTTGGACGGATTGCTCATTTTGCTAAACACACATGCAAATTAAACAACCAGAAAGACTTCAACTTGGACTGGACCCGCTCCGATACGATGTTAAAAATGGCAAACCGAGAACAACACAAATGGTATTAGATAAAATTAAGAGTAATTTACATAAATAGGACTAAAACATAATGACTTTCCCAATATAGGACTATATGTTTTTATTTCTCAATGTAGGACTTTTGGTCATTATCAAGTACTTGTAGTCATTATTCAAGTAAATGTCTATCATTACTGGACATTATTCCTCCCACAAGGTCATTATTAAGTCCTATTTAGGGAATAAAAAAGTTTAAGTCCTACATTAAGAAAGTCATTATGTTTTAGTCATATTTAGTGCAAATTTCACTAAAATTAACTGTTTGCATTTAAAGTCGTGATGTACTTTCTAACCCAAAAACTTGAGTCGATAGGTAGGGTCTCACCCTGCTATATATGCTAGTGATAATTTTTCTTTATTTTCAATGTGAAAACTCCAACATGAATGATTTACTTTTGGATTATGGAAGGGATTAGAAGTTAATTAAAGTGAAAAGGTGTTTTATTGGGGATGGGCTGCATGCAGTAGGGAGGGTATGGGGGGTGGGTGGGTAATGTAGAAATATTTGGCATATATTACGTTGTTAGAAAAGGGATGATGATGGCCGGGAGTGTGAGGTTTCGTGCGTAGAATGCAAGTGGGTGAGGAGGGTAATCTACTACTACTACTCCTCCTAACTAACTAACTACGTACTAGTCTTAAGATATGTCTACTCAAACACATGAGGATGATAAAACAACATCATACGTCGTCAAAGGTCGATCTTACGTGTAAGGAATGACTTGTACTCAGTGGCGGAGCCAGAACCCAATGCTAGTGGGTGCAAAGTAGGTCCATCCCTCTAGTAGCTGCATGAGACATAAAACTACAAATTGGTCTTGCTGGTATTTTGTCAAACACATAGGGTGCAAGAAATATTGACAAATGTTGAATATAATTTGCATCAGTATTTTTGAGAAGTGCAAATCAACTTTCTTCTAGTGTTCCAATAAGAATAGAAATACCATACTTTACAGCCATTTTGAAGTCAAAACCCACACCAAATCTTCATCCATTGAACTTTTGCAACGCTTTATATGTATGTATATATACAGTAACACACAAGGTGGAGTGACTGCAATTGCAGTCAGTTGCACTAATGTGGGTCCGCCACTGCTTGTACTCCGTACAAGATACGATAAGTTACATGTTTGGTCTTACAAATGACAGGAGATATAATTAATATTCCTTTCGTCTCATTTTAAAGTGTTTGTATCCGTTTTTCACGTCACACAAAGGGATGGATATTTCAAAGGGCATGCACATTAATGAAGAGGCATATTCCACATGGTGACACAGCCCCTCAAGCCAAGGGCACCCTCCTCAGGTTATTTTGGTGATGTCATCCCAAGCAACCTTAACAAATTTGCTCCCCAAAGAAAATTCCTACAAATACAAGTAATCCTCCCAACACATATATATTTGTGAATAAAAAAGGCTTGACAACGGAAGGATTAAGAGCATGTTCACTCCAACTTATTCTAATTACAATCTAAACAGAAACAGTTTTAAATATAACTATTATCAGATGAATCTAAATCAAATCTTATTCTAATCAGATTGAAACCATTTAGATCAAATTGTAGAATTAGAAGTATGAACAAAAATGGATTGAGGATTGAGAAATAACTAATGTTTCATAAATCTGTAGCAATTAATATTTTGAGTTTGCTTTTCCGTCACTCTCTATATGCATAATTAATTCAACATGGCGAGTTGCGACTTGGCCGGTCTCATAATAGCCACACATTTTGTGGGGGGCTTACGACG